TCCTCCCTCTCTCCCTCCCTTCCACCCCCTCCATCGTCCCGAATCGCCCCCTCGGCCCAAGCAGAGCACGCGTGTGTCGTCTGCCACATCGATAGCAGCCGAGAAGAGGTCGTCTGCGGACAGTGCCAGCCGATACAAGTATGGGAGAGAGGAGAGCTGGGCAAAGAATCGATTCCGGAACCGATTCAAAGAGTCTACATAACAAGAGGGGCCACTCCTCTCTTTGAGCCAATTAAAAAAGTGTCCTCAAAATTCGGTGGCGCCCTCTTTGACAATGCGCACCCTTTGCGAACAGAGTTACCCTACTTGAGTTGAAACTAGCAAGTTCTGGGATAAATTTCGGAAGAACGCTTTTTTAAAATGGTTACGCTGACAAAAAACCTCTTCCGGGGGAAGGGGTGATTGTTTTCTTCGTTTAATTTGACTTTAGAATGAAAGTCGAGAGGTCATTAAAATTTTAAAAACCTAAAACTCCGCACTGAACGAACCCGAACTGCTGATGAACAGCAATCGATCTGCGCTCGCAAGGAGGTGCTATTCCTATTCTTCTTCTGGAAAAACAAAAGAGAGCTTCAAAACAGACTTCAGCGCCATCTGAAGCAAAGAGCGGACTTCCGGTGGTCACTTTTTTTGCGGAATGGACCATCTTGTTATGTACTATCTTTGACCGATTCCAACAATTGTGAGGCGTGCTGACAAAATTAGTTACTTCCCAGATCTTAGCCCTATGGACGTCAAATGTATTGGTTGAGTTTATACAATGTAATCATACGAAATGATGAAAGAAATGTTTAACTTGAAGAAAATGGCATCCGTTAAGGATCTACAACTTTGACCCCTATGCCGGTTTTTGTCCCATATCTCCATTCGTGGACTGCGAGAAGTAACTCATTTTGTCAGCTTGCTTCACAATTAATGCTTAGGAACAAAACTCAGACTCTTTTAACTTAAATCAAGGGTTACCAGTTACTTTAATCATTTAGTTTAGTTCTAGTAGAGGTTTTACGGCGCTCACAACTGCATAAGGTCATATAAGCACCAGAAGATTAGAGGTGTTACAAGAGAGTAACAAACATAAAAAAGAAGAAGGGAAGATAATGACAATAGATGTTTGATAGGAAAGAAGAAGCAAACCACTCTAGAGCTCCAGGCAACCACCGACACTTTAATCATTAAAATCTTCATTAAAAATATATATATATATTTGAAAAATTAAAGTTGACGAATCGTAGTGTTTAGAAATCACGGTTATCCTAAATCCTGGAGATGTTCGGAGCCAACCAGGTAACCACCGGAAGAAATCACATCATTAGAAAGTAAGTAATTGGGTTTGGTGTCGATTCCCACTATTCCCGGCTTTCAACAATCAGGAACCTAGCCGACCAGCACCGGGGGAGAGGCTGCAGCCAGAGATGTATAGGTGTAGACAGAAGCTAGATCGCTTCCTCAAAGCTGCATCCGTAGATATAGCATAGACAGAAGGTAGATCGCGTCCTCGAAGCTGCATCCATAGATATATCATAGACAGAAGCTACATCGAGTGACCCACATAGGCGGTAATGGACGGAGTGCAGCCAAAGATTATTGACAAGAGAGACGCTAGATCGCTTCCTTCAAGCAATAGTGGACAGGCTGCAGCCATAGATATCAGCTTACAGAAAGAAAATGTAGATCTCTTCCTCAAAGCTGCATTCATAGATATATTACGGAGAGAAATTCGATCGCTTCTATCTATATATATAGATAGATCTACGACATTGACATGCAAGCACTGCGACAGAATCTGCGCTTCAAACATAGGAAGAATTAGCCATGAAAAAAGCTGCATGAAGAAAACCTTGAGACCATCTTAAGCTAAATTGACCGTCAGCATAGACGAGAGACACATATATTATATATATATATATATACATATATATATATTAATATATATATATATATATATATATATATATATATATATATATATATATATATATATATATATATATATATATATAATTGAAGGGAGAATATTCTGTATACAGTACATTCATACAGTGAAATACGCAAATTCATGTTTCTGATTTGCGCATCGTGGTTTGATGGTGCTGCAACATTGCCTCTTGTCTTCTGTCAATCCGACATCATAACGATACAAATATTTGTTCGCTTTTAAGCACAAGGGGGCTATCTCGAAAAATGCTGTTATGAGAAAATCGAAGCTAAAGTTTTTTCACCTTGTTCAGTTTCTTTAAAAGACTAGCAGAGTTTTCTCTATAACCAAACAAATGTACCCACCAACGAAACCAAACTTATCCTATTGGTAGGGTAATGCTCACTTTTGGTGCAGGCCAAGATTTCTGGAAACCTCCAAAAATTGGGTTAGCCCGCTTGTCTCTAAAAGCGACCATTTATACGTCTGTAAGCAGGCTGACTTTTACGTACAGCTGACCTACATGTCTTGCCCAGTGAAGCCTCAAATAATCATTTTGAAGTAGAAAAAAACCAATAATTCGCTTAACCCTATCCGTACGTCGAGTTTAACCTTCATATCCATACGGCATGGGGAACTCTGTGCCACCACTTAACCCTATCCGTACGTCGTGTTTTACCTTCGTATACCACTTTCCAACGATCCGTACGCTTTGCATAGCAGTCTGTCAAAATGATTTTTTGAGAAATACTGACAGTTTTAAAGAGATCTTCGCACTAGAAGTATTCTAAAATGTGAAAAATACAACCCCGGGGTTACAAAATGACCCCAGGGCGCACGGTTAGAGTTAATGTAATTTTTTTTAAAACATGTCGGCAAGAATGCAAGAATGCAAATTAAATTCTAAGAAGATTTATCCAGCTGTTGAAAAATATATCATCCAGTTCTGAATTTGGACAAGCAAGGATAGTGTCATTTGTGATCTGACTACATGGCATGTGGTTTAAAAGATAAAAGGGCAACACTTAACGATTAGACTTTGTCTTTCTACACATGGTATCTTGACTTTTTACGTATTACAATACTCCAATCACTTGTAAACCTAAAAACTGCTTACTCTTTGTGGTACAATCATCATCTTTCAGATTTTCTGTCCTAGAACTTTCACTTTTGCCTATTATATAACAGAATGTCGTTTTTTCTAAAATTTCAATTTTTTATGTGTTTTTTTCTCATCAAGTTTTTTATTATTTTCTTTTTGATTCCAGTGAAATGTTTAGGGCTTGTTATTTATGTTATTTATACCACAACCTAACTTCATACTGGAGGAAAATGAAATCGAAGCATTCATAAGTGAGTTACATGAATGAATATGTAATCGAATTCAGAGGCATGAAGGGGTAGGTCAGTTATCCATCTCGAACTTTTTTCCTATTCAAGATATCCAAAATCCCAACAGTATAAAACTTTGTATTGAGTATATCTACCAATGTACATTGGTTGGTAAATAAAAAATCCTTTGTACTTTTATGAAAGCTTTTTATTTTCAATATGGCGGTCGTTACTATGGCAACCGTAGACTTAAACCAAAATAATAATAATGTTACATTTTACACATGTTCTCCTGTTATACCTCCTTGCTATAAGACTTTATCTAAAAAGGCCATAGTAACCGAGAAAGGTTTATAAACCAGCCGCCCCCGCCCCTTTCCCCGTTAATGTCAAACAGTGAAATTGGAAGTCCTTCTAGACGCAGTTTGAGTCGATTCTAAATATAGTAAAAGTTTTATGGCACTTACGTCATAATTAGGTCACATAAGTGCCGAGGTTTAGAGGTATTCCAGATTGTAACAAAC